TCAAACATGTTTCATTGAATATGACCGCATATTCTGTAATTATTATTTTCTGGTTTAGGGCTTCTATCCCTCTAACTATTTTCTTAGCATCAGGGCTTAATTGAAATAGGAGTTCTCCAAAACTCATTTTCGTACTTTTAAGGTGAAGAAAAGAAGTGATTTACTATAGAGTGTATTACACTTATTTGTATAATTTGCACGACGTTTCGAACCTCCATGGTTCATTCTCAAGTGAACAGATCTTACAATACTAGTTGATTTTATACCCGCATTAGGTCAGGTGATAATACAATGAAGGTGAAAACATGGGGGGATACATAAGGGATAAACATAGGGGCTGCAGAAGGCTTATTGGCCCATACGAGGCATCTCCTATCTAAACACAAAGATTAATCCAGTGTAATTGGCCTGTTATGTTGGACATTGTCTTCTGTGTTGGCATCGATATGTTCTTGTCTTGTCCTTACTCTCATGGTGGGTAGAGTAAATAGTTCCGTGATTTGGGTGTTCATGGTAGGTCGCTCTATTCTTATGTGAATTGCCTCAAGAATTTGTAATCTTCTTGAATCTTGGGTTTTGTCTATTATGCAAGTATTCTTGTTCAACATTTCTCTTGTTAGAGTAATATCATGGGCTTGTCTCATGTGATTCCTAGGGGCACCAGATTGAGATGGCATGTCAAACGCCTCGTCAGCTTGGTCGACGTCATACCTATGTACTTACATTGAAGGTTACATCCTTCGTGGGGGCAAGTGTACATGTATACAACGCTTGACTGCTGTAGAGGGTTCTCTGTCGGCTTCGGGCTGTTTTTGATAAGGAGTTCGGAAGTCTTCTTGGTTTTGTAGAATATTATCAGGTTTATGTTTTGGTTAGGAGTAGTGCTTTTTACTCCTTTACGGATTATTTCTTTCATTATTCTTTCCTCTTTTATATGTTCACTGTGCATGGTTGATTTGTAATATAATTTTATTGGGGGTGTTGTGGTTTCTGTTCTAGGTTCTGAATTATTATATGTTCCTTAATGGAGCCCTGTTGCTTATGCATCGTTAAACGCCTAGAAAGAGATGTTGTTGTCTTGCCTATATACTGGGTTTTTTGGAGCTTACAGTCCCCAAGTGGGCATTTGAAGGCATAGACGACGTTAGTCTCTTTTAAAGCGTTCTGTTTTGTGTCTGGAGAGTTTCTCATGAGTAGGCTGGCCGTTTTTCTGGTTTTATAGTAAATCGTCAATTTACGATTGACGATATTATATATATATATATATATATATATATATATATATATATATATATATATATATATATATATATATATATATATATATATATATATATATATATATATATATATATATATATTTATACTATAGCTGTACCCGCCACGCGTTGCTGTGGTTCAGTCTGGATATATGGGAATGAAAGAAAAGGGAAGGCGCACATTTCTAATATGTTTCATTTCACAGTGCTTGTGGGTATACAATGTTTTTTGCAGTTCTATTGTCTGTAGAGATATAGAGATTGTCTGGTTTGCCGACTCTAGAACATGCAACATTTAATTGTCTATGTGTGAAGCAATCCGTGTCTAGATATAAACTGCATAATTCTAAAGATTGACCCTGAGCTTTGTTGATGGTGATTGCAAACGCAATTCGAATTGGAAATTTCAATCTCATAAATTGAATTGGCATATCCATTGGAATCACAGGAATGTGAGGAATGAGGACATCTTCTCATTTGAAAGGTCCTGTCAAGATTGTTACTTCTACAACGAAGCTGTTTAATTTTGTTTACCGTTGGCACGTGGCATTGCAAAGTTTTGACTAGTTGATATTTTGCAACATGATAATTGGCAAGCCGATTTTCAATTGCAGTAACCGGCATGTTTCCGTTCCCAATTTCCAGCAATTGATGTGAGAATATCTCAGCTGGCGAATCGTTTTGCAGCTGGAAACGCATATTTGTAGTTAATTTAAATGTCTTTATGTGGCGCCACAAAGTAGAGTATTTCAGGCAAGCATTTATTTTGTCCACTGGTGTCGATCGAGGAATTACAGATAATGTTTGCCTGAAAACTCCTGCAAGCAATATTACTGCGTTCCCAAATGGTCTGATGTTTACAGGCCAATCTTGCAATTATCGATCAAGAACCTCGCGCGATTTTTTGTGGGCCATTGTGCATTCATCCCAAACAATAAGTTTGCAAATATAAATGATGTTATCGTGTTAGTGGAAGTGCTGGATGCCTTACTTGGTGTAAATATCTAAGGCTCTGGTAAGAAGGCCACTGTGTTTGCGTCCTCTCCAGCATTTGACCGAGTTGGTGGTAGAGTCTGGTCATTTTCAGCCATTCTTCTCCTCCTCTTCTTGCTACAAAATTATCCCAGTCGATGGAGTAGTGGCTGTTTTCATAGTGGCGGTCTGTCGGTTTTATTTGCTTGGTACCTCTTATATGAAAAGCTGGACATTCAGCATTGAAGCACTCTTTCCTGTCCAAAGAGTTCTTGCAAGCTTCTGGGTGAAAGAATTCGCAGCTTTTGGTACATTTACCTGTATTGAGGAGGTTTCTGCAAGTTCTAGGGTGATCGTACATGCATGTTCCATTTGCTCTTCCCGATATCCCATGTTTACAGGTTGCCCATTTGTAATACCAACTGATTTTAGGGTCTTGTTATGTTTGTGTCCCTTTGCCAGGGACCGCACTCTGCTGCGGCGTCCCCGACACTGTGCTCTGCTCTGGGGCCTGCGACACCGCGCTCTGCTCCGGTGCCATTGACACCGTGCTCTGCTCAGGCACCCCCGACTCCCTGCTCTGCTGAGGCGTCCCCGACTCCCCGCTCTGCTCAGGCGCCCCCGACTCCCCACTCTTCTCAGGCGTCTCCGACTCCCCGCTCTGCTCAGGCGTCTCCAACTCCCTGCTCTGCTCAGGCGTCTCCGACTCCCTGCTCTGCTCAGGCGCCCCGAACTCCCTGCTCTGCTCAGGCGTCCCCGACTTCCCGCTCTGCTCAGGCGTCCCCGACTCCCCACTCTTCTCAGGCGTCTCCGACTCCCCGCTCTGCTCAGGCGTCTCCAACTCCCTGCTCTGCTCAGGCGTCTCCGACTCCCTGCTCTGCTCAGGCGCCCCGAACTCCCTGCTCTGTTCAGGCGTCCCCGACTCCCCGCTCTGCTCAGGCTCCCCCGACTCCCCACTCTGCTCAGGCGTCTCCGTCTCCCCGCTCTGCTCAGGCGTCCCCGACTCCCCGCTCTGCTCAGGCGTCCCCGACTCCCCGCTCTGCTCAGGCGTCCCCGACTCCCCGCTCTGCTCAGGCGTCCCCGACTCCCTGCTCTGCTCCGGCGCCGCTGCCACCGAGCTGTGTGCTGCATCTGGTTGTACCTTGGTGTCATATACAGTTTGTTTGAAGACATTAGAAATTGCTATACAGGCATTTATTAGTGATTCTCTGTTTTCGGCGGGAGTTTTATCCGGGATTTCCATCATCTTCAAAAAAGTTACATCATCCTTTTTGCAGAGCTAGTACACAGAGTGGTCACTGGGACCATTTCTCCTTGAATTATTAGTCATGTTGGCACATTTTTTGTGTATGGCTGCTGAACAGAGTTGGCAGTGAAAGCTCTGTTGGTATTCTACCTTCATGTTGCATTCTATGCACGTTCTTATCAAAGCCATTTTTGTTGAACACTTCTGTTCAGTGGTGGTGATCTTACAAGGTCTTACAAGGTGGGGTGTTGACCGTTGGGGGTTGATTGTGGATGTTGACCGTGGGTGTTTACCAACTTGAGATAGGCCTGGAGGAGGCTGTATGGACTGGCAGTGTTGTTACCACGTGTCACACTCTTAATTTGTTCTGTTCACTTGTTAGATTACATTACTTGCATTTTCCCACTAGTTATCTTACAGTAGAGGCGTCTAGTTTCTGTGTCTGGGCACTAGTTACCTGAGTACGTTACACTATTTGAAAGAATACACACACACAGTGGGTACTGAGGTGGGCCTACATTTAAATGGGCCTTGTTTACATACACACAACGGACTTATTTTGTGTATAAATTGTTAACTTGATATTAAGATATGTTATCTTATTTTTTTTTATAATAGACACACGTTTTGCATAGAGATCTTAGCACTATGTGCACTGATTTCTTGATGTTTCAATAGCGAGGGATGTGATTTAATGACGACTTGGCAACTATCGCCTAAGGCCTCCTGGCACCACGAGGGCAGGCGTTGACGACACACGAATTTCACTTATTTTTCCTTGAACACAAACGGTCGGATGGTAATCACTATGACATATTGTTTAATATGTTGAGATACACTTTAAAAGTTATCTGACTGTGTTTAGTTCCTGTATCACTGAAATATCACTAGATATATATTGTTTTTCGCGGATCTCGCATAGCGTGGCCCTTTCCCTCTCACACCCAGAACTGAACGGGTCCATCAAAGCCACTACTAGCCGACAAGACCAAGGCAGCAATTAAATCCATAAACATCTTTGAGAAACAATGGAAAATCAGCACAAACAAACAAAAGTTCCAGATAATACACATTGCAAAATGAAACCCTGACCCCATTATCCTTGACAACTGGCCGATCCAATAAAATAATAATAATAATAATAATAATAATAATAATAATAATAATAATAATAATAATAATATTAATAATAAAAATAATAATAATAATAATAATAATAATAATAATAATAATAATAATAATAATAATAATAATAATAAAAATAATAATAATTTATTTACGAAAAGTACATACATAGTTGCAGAGTTACAGTACAAACATTCTATTAGATTTAAAGATAGAGGTAGTACATACAATACCTAAAGCCACTAGTACGCATAGCGTTTCGGGCAATATGCGTAGGTAGGCAGAATACTGGGACCCTTGATCAATAAAACAGGGATAAAATTCACATAAAGGACCGATTAAACAAAGCTAAAGCAGCCTTTGGGAAACTGAGGAGATTCCGAAGCCTCAGCACGAACATTCAGATGCACCTATATAGTGCTCTAGTTCGGCCGCATCTTGAGCATCCCCCAGTACCACTGCACACCTTAAAGAAAATTAACTTGCAAAAACTAAAAGCAGTTCAAACTAAGGCACTAAGGAGAACAGCAAAACACCGTCCACCACATGACCAGACAATCCAGGAACTCCATGAACTCCTGAACATACAACCACTAAATATCAGACTACATTACCAACCCATCAGGGTGTGGAACACCATCGAAATGTTAGAGGACCCAATGTTAGAAAGATTATTCCAAGATGTGACGCCGCTCCCACAGCTGGTGGCCCAAGAGCCTCAATTCACTAGATGAAAACCCCGCCCCACAGTACATAATTCCCAGGTGAAATACTGACCAGAAACCCCCCAATAATTGGAAACAATTTAGTATATATGTGTGTGTATATGGATACATGTGTGTGTACATATGTGAATATATATGCATGTATAAATAAATCAATAATAATAAAAAACAGAAATAAAGAGCCTTAAACAGAACAACATGTTTGGAAGCATCAGGGTGTGTATATATAAATGCTACACAGTATTCATCAATAGAATCCGTATATGCTGATATACATGTGAAGAACCTCACACTCACAGGTCCCTGACAAGAGAGAGAAAGCTTAGCTTAGCTGCCAACACCCAGACATCGTGTCAGCAAGGCGGACAGCCCACCTGCTTTCATAACTCTCACTGTATTTCCCACTTCTAAACTTTGCTTCACCTATGCCTCTCCACCCTCTTTACTCCAAAAAAAAAATCCCACCCTCACGCCACCAACCACCATCCCCCACCACCCTCCACCTTCACACCACCAACCACCATCACCCACTATACTCCATCTTCACATCACCATCACCCCCCCACCTTCACACCACCAACCACTATCCCCCACCTTCACACCACCAACCCCCATTACCCTCCATCTTCACACCACCAACCACCATCCCCCATTATCCTCCATCTTCACACCACCAACCACTATCCCCCACCTTCACACCACCAACCACCATCACCCACTACCCTTCACCTACACACCACCAACAACCATCCCCCACTACCCTCCATCCTCACACCACCAACCACCATCACCCCCCCCCCCACTTTCACACCAACCACCATCCCCCACTACCCTCCATCTTCACACCACCAACCACCATCCCCCACCTTCATTCCACCAACATCCAGTTTAGCTTCTAGTTTAGTCTTCTCTTTTTCTACTTATTTTTTTCTCTGCAGTTCTAATTTCAACTTCTCTAGTTGGAACTGACTCGCCTCAGTTGCATCTGCAATTCAAGCTGGAATCATTCCAAGCATCTGTTCCGGCTGCTTCTGCTACTGTGGCTACTCTTACTACTACTGTTTGACACCTGTCACCTCACTCCATCTTGCCCATCATCTTCCACTCCCCTCTCAGCTCCATTTTGAGCCCCTTGCTTTACCACTTCACTCTTGACTCTCAAATCCTTAAGGATCCAATCTTTCATCAGTGCTTCCTTGGATGATTTTATCCTAATGCCACATCTCCCTGCAATGTGTCTCATCTGTTCCTTTGTACATCCCTCCAAGGCCTCAGGTTTCCCTAAATCAACAAACATTTGCACATTATGCATCTTGTCCTTTGAGTTGTCTAAAAGAGAGAGAAATAACTCGACCTGCAGTTACACGAGCTAATAACAGTTACCTGCTCTCAGACTCAGGCTGTGGGTAAGGCACTCGTTTCAGACACAAGCTCTGTGTGTGTGTGTGTGTGTGTGAGACAGTTCTGGGGTAGTCTGCTGCCCGTTCCTCTTTAGCCACCCTCTGTGCCTCAGTCACCTCGCCATCTGGGGTACTCTGTTGCCTGCTCTGATTCAGCCACCCGCTGTGCCTCAGTCACTTCGCCATTTGGGCTAGGCTGCTGCCTGCTTCTTTTCAGCAACCCATTATGTCTGTTGGAAATTTCCAACACATAATCACTCACAATTAGTACTTCAAGAAGAATTCTTGTACTAACAATTATATTTTCAAATACCACTAACCTGTAATGCAATAATATTAACTCATTTGTTACTGTGTAATAACTGCGCCAAATCTTTCCTACTGTTTATGGCGAAGTTGCGTCAGCCAGCTAGCCACAGAGAATAAATTTCCACATATCAGTGGATCAAATAGAGTCCAGTTCTTTACCTACCTTTATTAAGGATAAACATTTACTAATAAATTTACTTTAATTAGTATATTACCGTTTACTGGAATTCATTTACCCAGCTAGACTAGCTGTTCCAGTGAATAATAATATAATGTAAAACAATTTCCACTCTAACTCTTTTTCGTTTATTTAACGGAGTCTAAATTAATTGACTTGCACCACGAGAAAATATATGGCCGCATTACACATTTATTTATGACGTAAATATTCGTAATACTCTCTTCCTTCCATATTTACCATTAAATAAATAATATAATTTATGCTCGGGGATCCTACTGGGAGCTACTGCGCATGCGCCACCTCGAGGAGGAAGGTGGAGAGAGACGGCAGCCATTTTCCTGGCGACAAGCAGTGTCTGGACCTTGCGTATTTTATCAGCCCGTATTTGTGTCACCTAACATCAGCGGATGTCAGGGTGCTGGAGCGACTCCATCATTAATCAGACACTCGGCCTGGTGAACATTATACCGATAAGTCCTACTAATAGTTGGTAGTTTGTGATCACAAGGTAATTAATTTGTAGGATGTTCGTTGTCAGGCGACATGGACTCTAAATATCAACAAGTGAGTCCCACGCTCGATCGCCTCCACAGTTTCATTTAGAAATAGATGTAAATCAACATTGGTTTAGGCAATTCTTACATTTTACCTATAAATCAGCTTGTTCCATAGTGACAAGAAGAGAAGAAAGCCTCTACCCCCAAGGCGTGTTCTAGGACAGACTGTTTCGACAAGTTCTCTTGACGTGACTGCCCTAACGCTTACATCTATTTCTACAACACAGCTAAGCTGCTGTTTATTTTCTAAATTAGTAAATCACTAACATTTATTTAATTACTGATCTTCAATATAAGATCATATGTTTACTAACCATTTATTATTATTTGTCATGTAATTATTTCTGATATTCTTGATATCTTAATGGCTAATATTTCATGCGAATTTGTATCTATTTTAATGTGCAAGTAACGCATTAGTTTCATTGTACCAATTTAACCCCCCAAAGGATGTGGTGCGATGTGGCTCAATATTTTAATTTCAATCTACAGTTCACTTAATGCTCTTGAATTACATGATTAATTATTGAGAGATCCATATGCACTATTTCTAGGATTTATTTCTAATATTATTTATTCATTTTATTTCCCTTTTAATTATTGGGTGGTCCTTCGCAGCTATCGAAATTAATTATCATTATAATTAATATTCTGAGCCAGATTTACCCACAGTTCCACAGTCACCTCGCCATCTGTTTGGGCAACTAGGCTTTTTACATGTAATTTAACACCAACAACAAAATATCAACGCTTTCACCTTGCAATGTGTCAGGCATACTACATAAATCCATCTATCTCTGAAGCATATATTGTTGCCCTCACAACCCTCTATATGTCACCCGCAAGATCAGCTACTCTCGCTACACAACAAGTCTCCTCTATGGTGATTGATCTTCTTGGGAATCACTACAGGGACCTTCAATCAGTGGGTCCGCAAATTAAGTATATCCTCCTGCAGCTTCTTCTATATCGCTGCTACCTCAACTAATGACGGATAATGGCCACCATGTACCACTGCTACATCAACTCTGGACGCACCATGACCATCATACATGAACCTGTAATTCCATTACCACAAAATAATAAACTATATCCTTTTATCGAAATACAAATAACATTCATTAAATAAAATTATCCTCGCAATTCTATATTCCGTGCACCGGCCTGTACTGTGGGGGTACTCCCCCACATGTGGGGGCCTCGTAGCCTGGTGGATAGAGCGCAGGACTCGTAATTCTGTGGCGCGGGTTCGATTCCCGCACGAGGCAGAAACAAATGGGCAAAGTTTCTTTCACCCTAAGTGCCCCTGTTACCTAGCAGAAAATAGGTACCTGGGAGTTAGTCAGCTGTCACGGGCTGCTTCCTGGGGTGTGTGTGTGTGTGTGTGGTGTGGGGGAAAAAGAAAAAAAAAAGTAGTTAGTAAACAGTTGATTGACAGTTGAGAGGCGGGCCGAAAGAGCAAAGCTCAACCCCCGCAAAAACACAACTAGTAAACACATGGACGAGTCCACACCAAAAATCTTGATCCGCCAGGGGGCTCTCCCCCTCAGTCAGCCCCTGACCCTGGCCACACTACCTGGGGAGCACACCATAAAATTTTGCCCTCTTTATATACAGCCTACATTCGCAGCCAACTAGACTATTGCTGGTAGGCATTTGCATCGGCTGCTCCTACAGAGCAGCCACAGAGCCTTGAGGTCATACAAAACAATGCTATGCGACTTATATGTGGTGCAATGCTTTCCACTCCTTTCTTTGGACTTCACGTGGTAACAGGCCTCACAAGCTTAGCCACCAGACGGGACATAATGTGTGCCAACTATCTGTCACTCTGTACTACTGCTCACCAGACACACCCATACAGATAAAAAATTAACCCAACAATTAACCCACATAACCCCACTTCCCCACCAATCACAACTGATCCTCACACGGGCTACAGATAACCTCAATATAGACCTCACTTTACTCCAAAACTCTGAAACTCAACTTACTGTGCCCCCCAATTCCACCTTGACTTTATACAACTCCTAATACATCAATACAACTCGAAGACAACATTCCAAAGTCTGCACCAAACTCAGCCATAGCCTCAGTCTTTGTCTCAAGATTGGAAAATTGGTACCCAAATACCACAGCGATTTATGCAGATGGATCTCGCATCCTCATGAACAACGCACCTTCGGTCACTAGTGCTGTATGGATACCGGAATACCATCTCCAGCAGGGATGGCAGTTACTAAACCAACTATCTATTTTCACTGCTGAATTATATGTCTTATACCAAGCTCTCCAAATAATCACATCATTACCAGTTGGGAGAGATACAATCTGTAGTGACTCCAGGAGTGCGATTCAAGCAATTACGTACTCTTCAACGACATGCAAAGAGTTTGTTTACCCATGCCTTTAACTTCTTCATGAACATCGATTGAACGGTTATGACATCTCTATCCATTGGATCCCAGCGCATTGTGGTATACTTCATAATAAACTTGTAGATCAACTGGCCAAATCGATGCACAACACACCTCACATTACCCGTCATCTATTTCCTCATATTGCACGAAAAGTAGCCTTCAAAGATACTATCACCCAAGATTTTTTAATGAAATGGAAACCGTCATGCTCAGCTTTGTACTATGGGTCCATTAAAAAGAAAACGGAAACTTGGAAACATGTCAGTTATAAAAAGCAGAGAAACTGATGTAACGACGACCAGATTAAGGTTTGGACACACCAAACTGGCAGCACTCAGCTCTAAGTACAGATCAAACATCAACGAACTCTACATCCACTGTCAGGGGCCTCAGACAATCGAACACTATCTCCTTCACTTTTATGACATCATAGTGCCAGATTAAACTTCAAACAAGTATTTACTGCACTTAAAATACCCTTTACCATCGAGCATATATTAGGAGGAGGTGACCTCTCGTTACAGGAAAAATATAAAATAGTCATAACACTGGCTAAATATCTCCAGTCGACTAACAAATTAAGCTACATTTGACCCGTGCCACATTTATACCTGGCGCCACCAACAGCTAAACACACAAAGCAACTGCCTCGTCGCAGTACAACGCACAAACACTTTTGAAACTCTTATCATTCTCAACATAAACACGGGTCCCAACATTTGTATGGTGCAGTCATTGCCCTCCCAAAGCTTCCTCACACTTCACTCAGTGAAATTTAATACAAATTCTTCTACATAAGTCACAAAAACTATTTCCTCTGGAGAGACGACCTGCGTCCTTCTTTTCAGACTTCCTCACACGTGACGTCTTAAGACCATTGCACGCAACATGCTCCTGCGATGACGTCATTTTTGCACACGAGTCGCCGCATACAGTCGACCTCTGACCTCCAAGTGACTTATCCAAGTGCTCCTCGGGGACGTATCTCCTCCTTAGTCACATTTAATGATGGTTGTTTGCACCATTTAACTTCCCTGACTCCTCACTATGGTCAGGTGGGGAATAACTCTCAGTGTGGGGCAGACCTTCATCATGAGGATCATGGGGTTCATAACACCCACCATCTTCACACCCACCAACCACCATCCCCTATTACCCTCCACCTTAACACCCCTAACTACCATCCCCCATTATCCTCCACCTTTACACCACCAACCACCACCCTCCACCTTCACTCAACCAACCACTATCCACAACTACTCTTCACCTTCACACAATCAACAACCACCCCCTACCACCCTCCACCTTCACACCACCAACCACCATCCCCAACTACTCTCCACGTTCATACCACCAACCACCATCCCCCACTACCCTCCACCTTCACAACTCTAACCACAACCCTCCACTTCACACAACCAACCACCACCCCTTACTACCCTCCAACTTCACACCACCGACCACCATCCCCAACTACCCTCCTCCTTCACACAATCAACCACCACCCTCTACTGCCCTCCAGCTTCACACCACCAAACACCATACACTACTACCCTCCACCATCACTCCACCAACCACCACGCTCCACTACCCTCCACGTTCACACCACCAACTACCCACCCCCCATCATCCACCACTATCTCTCCACCAACTACCACCCCACCAACCACCACTCTCCACTAACTACTACCTCACCATTACCACTCACTCTCCACTAACTACCACCCCACCAACCACTACTCTCTCTCCACCAACTACCACCCCACCAACCACCACTCTCTCTCCACTAACTACCACCCCAAAATCCACCACTCACTCACCACCAACTACCAAGGTAAAATCTTACTGAAGCG